CCCGCCCCTGCCTCCTCCTCCCAGGACTGGACCAGAGAGGGCGCTGTGGCCACTGGGGGGCACTCTGCCCCCCCAGGTCTCACCGGCCGCCCCCAGGAGTGCACGGGGCGGCCGGGGTCCCCATCAAGCCGGGCAGGACCAGGATGCTGTCCCCTGTCTTCCCCCTCGCCCCCACCCCACGCCCCCACCCACCGGAACGTCTGGTGTGACTGGAGACAGCCGGATGCTGGCTGACCCTGGGCCCGAGGTGGGCAGCGGCTGGCCGGGCCTCCTCATGTCTTGCCTGAAGGGCCCACATGTCATCCTCAAGATGGAGGCCATGAAGATCGTGCACCCTGAAAAGTTCCCCGAGCTTCCAGCGGCTGCCCCCTGCTTCCCACCTGCACCTCGGCCCACCCCCACTCTGGCACCCAAGCGTGCCTGGCCCTCCGACACAGAGATCATTGTCAACCAGGCCTGTGGTGGGGATATGCCTGCCTTGGAAGGGGCGTCCCACACCCCACCCCTGCCACGGAGACCCCGCAAAGGCAGCTCAGAACTGGGCTTCCCCCGCGTGGCACCTGCGGACGAGGTGATTGTGAATCAGTACGTGATCCGGCCTAGCTCGGCAGCCTCAGCGGGCTCATCATCGTCCTCAGGGGCCACAGCAGCTGGGGAGCCCCTGGAGTGCCCCACCTGCGGGCACACCTACAACGTCACGCAGCGCCGGCCCCGCGTGCTGTCCTGCCTGCACTCGGTGTGTGAGCAGTGCCTGCAGATCCTGTACGAGTCCTGCCCGAAGTACAAGTTCATCTCCTGCCCCACCTGCCGCCGTGAGACTGTGCTCTTCACTGACTACGGCCTGGCCGCGCTGGCAGTCAACACATCCATCTTGAGCCGCCTGCCGCCTGAGGCGCTGACTGCCCCATCCGGGGGCCAGTGGGGGGGCGAGTCAGAGGGCAGCTGCTACCAAACCTTCAGGCAGTACTGTGGGGCTGCCTGCACCTGCCACGTGCGGAACCCGCTGTCCGCCTGCTCCATCATGTAGCACCTACCTGCCTGCTGCGGCCGCTGCCCTCGCCCATCGCTTCTTTAGGGACCCGGTCCTGTCCTGTCGCCCGCTGACCCTTCCTCGCCCACCATGGCTTGTGGCCCTACCCCGCGTGGTACTGTCGCTGCAGCCAACTCTGCCATTAAAACTCTTTGCCAAAGTTTGCACCTGTTCCCTGGACTGAGGCCCCCTCCTCAGGGCTGGGCCCAGGGTCGGCACCCATGCTGCAGCCCAGACCGTGTCTAGCTTGGAGCCGCCAGAGGGAGGCTTCTCCTTGCTGGCTGGGGCCAGGTTGGGGTCCCCTGCGGGCAGGGGCTGGGTCTGGCCTGGAGTGCGTGTGCAGAGCCTGCAGGCCTGGTCACAGCGCACTGCCAGTGTATACCCACTGGTTCGGGCCAGCTTGTAGAACTGGCCTAGCTGGGTGAAGACAGGACCTGTCTTCTGCACTGGCCACTGGTGTGGGGGAAGACACAGGTGTTTTCTCTCCTTGTCCCCCTGGCCTGCGTGGGTCTCCCAAGACTGGGTATGGCCTTTGGCCATTCTGAGCTGGGGCACTAGGACCAGGGGCCTGGACCGCCAGTGTTTGGGGAAGGTCCCTTTGCATGGGGCATGGGGCAGCTCTGCCTTGATGCTGAGACTGGGTAACAGGAAGGACAGCTGGGGCAATTGACAGTGGCATCAGGAATAGATGTTTATTGAGAGCCACTTCCTGTACCAGGCAGGGCTCAGCTCCCCACCTCAATCACATTCCACTCACCCACAGCTATGGCATCCTGCAGGTGAGGGCCTCCAGGTTTGTGTTGGGAGCCAGCACAGCTAAGCCCCTGGCTGCCCTGGGCCACCCTCTGGTCCTGGCCAGGCTGGGTACGGAGTCTTGTGGACCAGCCATGTGCTGTGTAGGCCCCTCCCCTGGCTGCTGTGACCTTCAAGGACACAGTGACCCTGATCCAGATCACAGGTGGTCAGCTCCAGCAGCCCCTGCCCTCCCCCACCAACACACTCCCTTTGGGGTGTCTGGCCATTCATGCTGCCCTCCTGGGCCTCAGGAGGGGGCACTGTGGCCCAGTCTGCCATGGCCAGAGCAGGGCCTGGCTCACCACCCTCCCTGCTGCCCTCGTCTCCAGCAGCTGTCCTTGCATGGTGTCCTTGGGCCCAGCTTGTGTCCCGGCTGCAGGGTGCAGTGGGCTGTCTGGCCAGGCCAGGCTGTGTGTGGGGCTTGGGGGCGGCCAGGGCTGGGTCTGAGCTTGGGCTTTCCAGCCTGAGCTTTCCATCCAGCGAGGCTCAGCGGCTGGCACGGTCCAGAAGCATGAAGAGCAGCCCCAGCAGCATGAGTGGCGTGAAGATGAGCAGCAGCCCCAGCAGCTCAAGCACCAGGAGGGTCAACAGCACCAGGCGGCGGGCACAGGGTCCACGCTCCCGCAGTGCCCACAGCCGGATGCCCAGCCCTGGCGGGCAAGGCAGGAAGGGCAGGCAGCCCCGACTCCCTATGGGCCCTGCCAGGAAGCGAGGCTGGTAGCGGTGTTCCAGAGAGCCCCAGGGCCCCGGCCTGCGGCCGGGGGGTGTCGGGGGCGCAGGAGGCGGCGGGCGCTGGGGCCCATCAGCCTGAAGCAGCTCTTCCTGCAGCTGGCAGATCTCCCACTCCAGCATGGGTGTTTTCTGGCGGCACAGAGGGCAGCGCACACGGCCCAGGTCCGAGCCAGGGGCTGTGCCCAGTAGCCGGTGCAGGCAGCCTGTACAAAGGCCGTGGCCACAGTTCAGCAGGGTCAGGCAGTGCTCGCTGGGCCCATAGGGCTCTGTGCAGATGGGGCACTCCTCTTCCTCCTGCCTGTGGCCCTCTACCTGCTCCCCCACCTCTGGTAGGGGCCAGATGCTGGCAGGGGCTGTAGCCCCTAGCAGGGGCTCACTGTCCAGAGTTCTGGCACCCTGGGGGTTCCTGACGCCTGCCCCATCATCTGCTGGAGGCTGGCACCGTGAGTCCAGATACTCAGGACCCAGAGAGGCCCACAGAGGACTGGAAGGCCCAGAGCTGGGCTCTGTGGGACCCAGGGCAGGGTCCCTAGGGCCAGAGTCAGGATGGGTGGGCTGGGGCTCCAGGATGTGGAGGTGTGGGGGAGGTGTGGAGGTCGGCGTGGCCCTCAGCGGCCAGGTAGGGTCTGGATGCCACCCGCTGCTCCCTTGGCTACTGACCTCCTGCTGTACCTCTGGGCTCCCTGCCCCACAGGAACTTCCCTTGAGTCCTGGCGGCCTGCTCACACCGGGCAGCTGCTGGGCCCATGCAGAGCCACTCCTGGTGAGATCCTGCTGGCCCTCAGCCCCGGCCAAGTCCAATCCCTGTGTCAGTGACTGACCAACTGACCAAACAAACGTTCTTCCGCTCCTGGCCTGGACAAACGCTCTTCCGCTCACTGGCTCAACTACTCCAGCAGGGTTGCCTTTCCCAGAGCTGGAGCCCCAGCCAAGGGAGCCTGGGGGTGGGACCAAACACCACACCCCTTGCCCGCCCCTTCCTGGGTAGAAAGGGCAGCCTGAGCCGGCCCCAGCATTTCCCACAGCTCTAGGCTGGCAGTGAGCCGGCACTCCGCCTCACAGGCAGGGCAGGTTTGGCTGGGCAACTCCAGGACCCTGAATTCACATCACATTGGACTTGCGAGTGTAGGACGCCTGGTTCAGGAAAGGTAGATGCGCAAGACGCACATGCAGGGGCCCACGCACCAGAGGGATCACTGCTGCCCCTGCCCATGCGGACACTTGAGGACCCATCTGCCACCTGCAGCACCAGGAGCAGAAAGACAGCACACATGGGAACCGCTGCCCAGGGGCCATGTTTACTGCCAAGGCTTCTGGGATGGGAGAGGAAGGGCCTGGCCAGGCCTCTTCACATTGCTTAGGAAGCTGTGGGGGTCCTGGCAGCCTCTGGCCCAGGCCTGACCCTGTGGGTGCTGCAGGCATGTGGAAGCAGCATGGCCCCTCAGGCTGCCATGGGAGGCACCGGGGAGTCCCCGGGGTAGACAGCAGTGTCCTGTGCCAGAATTGGGGGGCACAGGCCAGGCCAGTGGGGCAGGGCATGGGAAGGGCAGGGTGTCCCTAGGGCAACCGGTGGGGCAGGTTGCAGTGTTGGGGCTGACAGGCCCCCAGAGTGTGAAAAGGACTGGCGTATGAGGTGCTCCTCTACCAGATGCTTTCCCCTAGACTCCCAGGGCAGGAGTCCAGGACAGCTATCAGGGCCAACAGGTGTTCCCTCAGGCCCAGGTCTCCACCTGGAAGCGCACTGTCCGCTGGAGCCTGGCAAGGTAAGCGGCAGCATCAGGGCTGGAAAGCCCACCGTGTTCCTGGAAGATGGACATCAGGGCCTCTGTGACATCTGCTGGCATGTACTTGGCGTTGCTAGACAGGCAGGCCAGACGGTCAGTGTAGTTGGGACCCTGCAGGGCTGGGCCTCCCCACGCCACCCGCCTGAGCCTGGGCTCACCCTGCCAGGTAGAAGTGAGCACCACGGTGGTCCAGCAGCTCCCAAACCAGTGGCCCCAGCTCCTGGAGGCGGTGCTGCACATACACCTTCCGTTCCTACAAGGCGGAGGCGCTGAGTCTGCTGCCCTCCTCCTGCCCCCTCCACCTCGGAGTACACCCACCTGCTCCCGGGAGAAGGCTGTGACAAGCACGAGGCAGCCTTTCTTCTCCAATTCCTGCCATTCGGCCTCCCAGTAGAAATCTTGGTCCCGCCAGCGGCAGCCAAAAAACAGGAAGTTTCCTGGGGAGTGCAGGGTGAACTCAAGCTGGACACAGGCCCTTGGAGCCCCATGGACCAGCTCCAGTGGTGACCCAGCCTGGGATCCCTGCACTCACCAGTCTGGCCCTGGGCCACGCGCTCCTGGATGGCTGCTCGGAAGGGGGCCACACCAGTGCCAGGCCCCACCATGATCACAGGTGTGTCTGGGGACTTCGGGAAGGCCAGGCTGCCTGGCCGCACCCACAGGGGCACTCGGATGGATCCTGCCACAGGAGGGAGGAAGCATGAAGGGGCTCCATGGGCCTGGATGAGGGGCACTGATGTGGGTGGGGGCAGAACAGCGGGGCTGGGCCACAGTCCCCACCCCTCCTCCTAGGAGTCACCTTGCCCAGGGTCCATGGAGGCCAGCCAGGAGGAGCAGAGGCCACGGCGGGGCTCCCTGAGGCGGGTCTGGTACTGCACCACAGCCATGAGGATCTGCAGCCTGTTGGGATGAGCCTGGGGGGACAGTGGGTGCCATGGCTGCTAAGCCTGCTCAGAGGTGACTCTGCCTGCAAAGCCCCGGCCATGGCTCTCACCAGCAGGGATGAGGCGATAGAGAAGGCTCTCGGCCGGATCCGTGGAATGAGGTCTAGCAGGTAGTCTGGGGGGATGGCGCCCGCAGAGTGTGGGAAATCACACAGCACCTGGGCAGAGGACCCTCAGCACGAGTTCACGAATTCATGGCCCCTGACTCAGGACCCACCATGCGCCGCCCTCTGGCCCCTGGGTTAGCCCTGACCTCCAGGATGGTCCTGCGAGGCCGGCTACAATATTCGCACAGCGCCTCCTGGCCTGTGGCTGAGCTGAGCTCCAGCAGCTTCTCCCGCTCCAGCTCGTGTGGGGACAGGCAGGCCAGGAGCTCAAAGAAAGAGCGGCGAGGCACACTGGCAATGTCCAGGTACTGGGTCACAAGGTACCACACGGAACAAGGCTGGGGCAGCCCTGATGGAGAGGGCACACCTGCAATAGGAGTGGCAGTGTCATGGCCAGGACCTCCGTGGGGTGGACACACCTGCAATAGGAGTGGCTGTGTCACGGCCGGGGCCTCCATGGGGCGGTGGGTGGGCGGCAGGCTTCCTGCTCACCTGGCTCCCGGGGCTGTAGTGTGAACCACTGGTCTGGGTCTAGGCCCAGTAGCTGGCAGAACTGCTGGACGTGGGCGGCTGAGTTGGACGGCTGAATCAGTACCACATCGCCAGCGACAAAGCTGTGTGGGAGAATGTGGGAGGGATGTGTGTGTAGGGGTGCTGTGGGGGAGAGGGAGCAGCTCGAGGGCGGTGGTGGGGTCTGTGGATGAGGCTTCCACTGCTGAGCTGCCCTCACCCCAGCTGCTGCAGCCCCATCCAAATCCCGGTCCACTGCCTGCCCTCGGTCACCAGGTACCAGGCGCCCTGCCTGCTTGGGGTGTCGGGCTGCCCCCACCTGATGCTGGAGCCAGTGATGTCAAACTCGATGAGCCGCACATCCTGGAAGTGTGTGGGGCCTGTGACCCTCTGGTTAACGACCATGGGCGCCAAGAAGGGCTGTGACTCTGACGGGGGCTGATGAGAGTCCAGGCTGGACGCAGTCAGCTCCTGGAGGGCCATGCTGGGTGCATCCTGGAAGAGCTGGAGGGCGAACGTGGAGGGCAAGCTGCGGGGTGGGGGGCACAGCATCAGGCCCATGGGGACAGGCATCAGTCCGAGGGCTCCAGGGAGTGATGGCATTAGGCCATGGGCTCCCTCCTAGGGTGGTTGCCTACTTGGAGGGACCAGGGCAAGGTCCCTGGCCAGGGTACACCTACAGATTCTCCAAGGCTGGCCCAAGGCCCTCACTCACGGGACTTCAGGGGGGATCGCAGCGAGGTCCAAGGGCACCGGGTACAGGCCCAGCACCTTCTCCCACAGGGCCCCCAGCCAGGGGTCAATGGCAGCATCGGGCCTGGGAGAGAGCACACCTGTTGGCCACGGGCAAATGGCTCACCTGTCTACCATAGCCATGAGGGAGCCCTGTGGCCCACACTCACCCCAGCTCATGCTGGTCATCGCCCAGACATGCAGGCAGGAGGGCGCTGCCCCCGAGCTGCAGCAGTCGGCGGTGCAGTTTCTTGGCCACAAAGTTGAATCTGCGGGGATGGAGAGGCTGGGTGGGGCCTGCCCTGCAGCCCAGGGCGCACAGGGCCCACATCACCAGAAAGCAGCTGGCGATGGGGGACAGTCCTGTCCTGCCAGTCAGTCCTCACCCTGGCCAGGGCTTGGTCACTACTTGGCTGAAGGCTTTGAGTCAGGCAGGTGTCACACCCTTGGACCTCTCAGCCCCTGTGGCTGCACAGCTCAGAAGGGAGACCTCCCAGCAGGACATGACACATGGCCAGTCCTTCTCCTGTGCCTTCCTCTAGTGACAAAGGACCCCACCAGGCACCTGGGCCCCTTGGGCGGATGGACTCAGCTTGGGCCTCCGAAGATGCCCTCTTTACCCTGAACACAAACCCCTTTTCTACTAGGCAATGATACAAAGTGATGGTACTCAGGGACATGGCTGTGTGTTATGAAAATACACCATAAACCCAGTGGCAACCCCAGACAGGCAAGATGTGGCCTTAGGGGTAGACAGGTACAAACGCTCTACTTCAGCCCTCCTCCCAGGGCACAAACACTTCACAGTATCTGCTTTGTACCTGGCGGGGAACAGCACCGGATTGGCCTCTGTCGACCTTGGGCACAGGCTATGATGTGACACTGGCTGGCGTGAGCCCAGCTCTGCTCCCGGGCTGCCCGGCTGCCCTCAATCCTACTACCCGCACCGGCAGCCTACCGCGGAGAAGGGGCACCGACCCTGAAGACTGTTCCTGTGTGGCCAGTGTGCCGAACCCCACACCCACCGTCCCTACTCACTTGGTGTAGGAGGAGTCCCCGAGGCCCAGGACGGCAAAGTCCAGCTGAGAGAGGGAGGTGGCTGGCAGGTTCTTCCGGAATATGAACCTCCAGAAGTTCTGGGCCAGAGGAAGTCTGTGTTAGGGCTGCTGGCTCTGGGCCAGCCCCTCACTGTCGTGGGGATGTAGGGGAGTCTCAGGACAGGGGCAGAATGGGATGGAACCACCTGGCAGGAGCAGGCTGTGTTGGGCCCATGTGGCAGGGGGGTGGGTGCTGAGCACCAGGTCTGCACGTGGCAGGTGGGGCCTCTTTCACAGGGCAAAATGCTCATCTGTTCCTTAAGAGCCTGTTTCTAAAACACAACAAAATTGTTTCTTATTCTACTACAAAGACAAGAAACTTGGGAAAATGCACAAATTATAAAGGAGAAGAAAGCCAGGACTCCAGAGGTTGGGAAGCCGACGAGCCTGGCTGTCTGCTCACCTGCTCCTCGGCTCTCTGCTTCCTGAGGGCCAGCATCTCCCCATCCTCAGTCAGGGCTCAGCCTGGACCCTAGGCATGGCTCTGGGATGGGTGCCCAGTGGGGACGCTTGCCTCCACCCACCTGCCACCTCCAGTCCCAACACCCGAGCCTCAGGGAGCCCGGGGTATATCCCACGCCATCCCTGGAGCCACAGGGTCCCGGATGGGAGCACCTCTGCTCCAGGTCTTCCTGGGCAGCACCAACGCCCTCCCACAAGTAGGCATCAAGTCACCTCCTTCCCTGAGCCTGCACGGGCCGCGTGGGTCAGCTTTGCCTCACCCTCCTCCCTTTCTATGGACAAGGACAGAGGCGGCAGCAGGTCCTCAGACCCCATACAATGGGAGAAGCCATGTTGGCACTGTCAGTGCCCAGCTCTGCCCACTGGCCCTGGGTGGCCCATGCCATCTTGGCACCCTGCTGGCAGCTGGCAAACAAATCTCTGCCTTCTGTAGCCTTGTTTCCTGGAGCCTAGGGGCTCAGGGAGAGGCCCCCGCCCAGCCTATTGGAGGTACCACGCAAGCCTGTGGGCAGCGCTGTCGGGGGAGAATTGTGCCCCTCAGGCCCGCCCTGGACTCTTCCGGTTTGGTGGCTGCTGCTGAGAAGCCAGCGCCATCTGCATGCTGCCTTGCTATCTCCTGGCAGCCGCCTGAGCATGCTCTTTCTCCCCAAGAGCCAGACAGAATGTGCCTCAGCGGGCACCCTCTCCACTCTCCGAACCTCTCTCAGGCAGGTGGTCACATCCTAGGCAGGGTCTCAGCCTTCAATTCTGGGACATTTTGCTACTTTTCTTGATAATTTCCTTCCTGCTCTCTTTTTCATTTTGAGGCTTCTGGTGTGAGGTTTTTTGTTTTTTGCAGTCCCGGGGACTGAACACAGGGCTTCTACACTTAGCTAAACCTCCAAACATTTTTTTTAAAATTTGAGACAGGGTCTCACCAAATCACTCAGGCTAGGCTGAAACTTGCAACTCCCCTGCCTCAGCCTCCCAGATGGTGGGGTTATAAGTGTGCACCATCATGCCCAGCTGATCTTTGATTTCTACCTTGTTTGTTTGTTTGTTTGTTTGTTTTGTCTTTTTGAGACAGGGTCTTGCTATACAGTTCAGACTGACCTTGAGCTCACTTTGTAGCCCAGGCTGGTCTCGAACTCACAGCAATCCTCCTGCCTCAGCCTCCCAAGTGCTGGGATTACAGGCATGCACCACCATGCCTGGCCTCCACCTTGCTCTTTGTTACACTCATTGGGAGAATTTCTCAGCCGCATCCTCTAATCTTTCAAAGACCCTCTTCTGTGCTGCCAGCTCAGTCCTGCTCTGTGGTGCTGGCCTTGTCACGGGGGTGCTGTGTCCGACCTGTTCCTGTTGGTCTCTCAGCCTGTGCCTCTCACAGGAGCCTCTGCTCCCAGTGGTAGTTCCCATGATCCGCCTGTGCTCAGGAGGCTGATAGGAGCCCTGGACACATGCCTGGTGCCCATTACTAGTGGGCTTCATTACTAGCGTGGCAGGGACCTGGCCACTGGGCCTTTCACTGTGATCCCACTGCTTCTCAAAGAACACAGCAAAGAGCGCAGGATTTCCGGCCCAGCAGGAAGATGGTCACCGAGGAGCTGCACCCCAGCCTCTGTAGTCCAGGCCTACAGCCACTCAAAGGAGCCCCAGTTCCTGCTGCAGTCAGCACTGCTCGTTTTCTTCTGTGAGGTGCCCGTCCCTGCCATTCTTCCTGACTTTGTCCACTCAAGAGTCTCATCATACCTCAGTGTGACTGTCATACCTGGGCGTGACTGGCTGCCCTGACAGCCCCGAATACTTTGGACCAGAGAAGAGTCTCATTACTTCTCCTCTCCTCGGCCAGCACCCTCCCATCCCATCACTCACCTCCTGTCTCCACCCCCAGTCACCCACTCTCTGTCCCTCTCATTCTAGGAGAGCCCCAGCTGTGCTAAGGCCTCCTGGGCTCTACACAGCAACCCCTACGCTCAGTCTTCAATTTTCAGCCTCTTTCTCCCTGTTCCTCCCCAACCCACACTGAACATGCCGAGTCTCCCCTATCCTATAAACTCCTTTTGGACTCCTTAGTGGTTTTTTTTGTTGTTGTTCCTTGTTTTTGTTTTGTCTTTTTGAGACAGGGTCTCACTATGCACTTCAGGCTGGCCTTGAGCTCACTCTGTAGCCCAGGTTGGCCTTGAACTTGCAACAATCCTCCTGCCTCAGCCTCCGGAGTGCTGGGATTACAGGTGTGTGCCACCATGCCAGGCCAGAATTTTAAAATATCTGACATTCTCAGAAGACCTTTCCCACTAACTCTCTGATCCCCAGTAACCTGGTTTCTCTCTCCACAAGCCAGAAAACAACTCTCAACCAGCAATCCCAGGGATGACTCCCAGGTCTCAACTTATTTGATTTCTATGCAGCTTTGATGGTCTCAACTTATTTGATTTCTATGCAGCCCTTTGTGAAACACTCACTTCCCTGCCCTTGACCTTGAGGAAGGTGCACCCCCACTCCACTGCCTGGCCACAGGCCTGCCCTCTGCTTTGATGCAGGCAGGGTCCTTGGGGGAGGTGTTTTTCTTCACACCTCTTGATTTTTTTTTTTTTTTATTGGTACCGGGGATCAAACTCAGGACCTTGTGCTTGCCAGGCAGGGGCTCATGTCACTGAGCTATATCCCCAGCCCTACCTCTGGATTTTGGCCCCAACCTACCCACATCTCCCTTGATATCTCCTGGCACCTGGGCCTGCCATGTCCTTGCTTTCTGTGGCTAGCACCCATTCTGGTTCCAGAGTCCAAATCCCTGTTGTGATTCCACCTTTCTCATCTTCCACATGCCTTCAATTACAAGTCCTGCTGGCTCTACCTCCTTAACCTCTCCACAATGTGTCCACTTTGCCCTTTCTTCCACCACCCTGACTTAGACCACTAGCACCTCTTGCCTGGGGTGTAGTCTCTGGCATCATCTCAGCCCCTACAGAGAGGTGGTGCTGTTGCTAGAACCAGAGCATTACTGTCCCCCAGTTTCCACAGTCCTTCACCTCCTGCCCACCCACCTTACTGTGCCTGCTCAGGCTCTGGCTCCTCCATGGCTTCCTGCCTACCTCCCCTTCTCCTCCTGCCCGGATGCACTCCTTAGCTTGGCTGGCCATCCTGAGCTGCTTTCTCCTCTTCACACAGACCAGGCCATCCTTCTCTTCTGCGTAGGCTACTCTATCTTCCCCAACCAGCCCCATTCATCCTTGGGACTCAGCCTACGCTCCTTCCAAAAAGCTCTGCATGAGATCCCAGGCTCCCACACATCCAGCAGGTTCCCTAGCAGCAGGCATTTCCTGATACCGTAACTGCCCATGAACTGTTGTTTCTACTCTTAAGTTTGTAAGAGCTGGAAATGTAGATCCCCAGCACTTCACAGTGCCAGGAATACATGTGCGTCCAAGATGATCAAAGAATTAGGTACTGTCTGAAGACTACACTGCCTGGAGATCCACATAAGAACCAGACCAGAGTCCTACACACATCTGGGGAAACACAAAGAGTTAAAATGGAGGACAAGGCTATTTAGTGGCTATTAAGAATTTATTTAGCAAAGACAACCAGAGCCCCCAGCTCCACTTGAAAGTATCCTCTCAGAACCACCTCTAACGTGTCTCCAAGGGCAACGACTTAAAGTGCTTCTTGGACTTTCGGGGCCGTAAAACCGGGGTCAGGGCGGAGGGAGCCGCATCAAGCCAGCCTTACCTTCATGTTGTCAGGGGGGTCTCCTTGGCCTGTAGTCGCACAAACAAATATCACCAGGGGCTCCCTAATCAGATTCGCCTCGACGAAAAGACACAAGTGTAAGAGCTCTGGCCGTCATGACCAGGGCCCCCCAACTGGGCCCCCCTTCCTCACTCAGAGGGACTGGCCACCCTGGAGTCAAGTCTCCTCTTCCCCTGTGTCGGCTCCAACCAGCGCGACGCCTCTGGGCCCAGGGTCTCCCGCCCAGGCGGCCGAGCCTCACCACGGCATAAGAGTCCAGCTCCTGCACGCGGCAACTCAGCCGCCGGCGCCGGGCCTCGCGGCGCAGCCTCTCCGCCACATCTTGGGCAGTGCCTGTCTGGCTGCCGAAGAGCACCAGGACCTCATGGTCCGGCATCTCTACCCCTTCCCAGCCCAGGTCCCGGGCACGCACCGCCTTCCGCCTTCCGGTGTCGACAGGAAGTGACGTATTCGACCCGCGCTGGCGGGGCATGGCGTGCGGGTGCTGCAGGAGTCCAGCGGCGACCGCTACGGGGTCCCGGACCGGGACCTGGAGGTCGGCGGCACGCCGGAGCAGGCGAGGCCGCTTTCTCACAGCGGTGGCGTGCGCCGGACAGGCCAGCGGAGAGAGAGAGCGCGGCCCCGCTGGGAGCGCGCTCGGCCGGACCCGGGCCAGCGCCCCACCAGCGCGATGCTCTTCTCGCTGCGGGAGCTGGTGCAGTGGCTGGGCTTCGCCACCTTTGAGATCTTCGTGCACCTGCTGGCCCTTTTAGTGTTCTCCGTGCTGCTGGCACTTCGCGTAGACGGCCTGGCCCCGGGCCTTTCCTGGTGGAACGTGTTCGTGCCCTTCTTCGCCGCTGACGGGCTCAGCACCTACTTCACCACCATCGTGTCCGTACGCCTCTTCCAAGACGGGGAGAAGCGGCTGGCTGTGCTGCGTCTCTTCTGGGTCCTCACGGTTCTTAGCCTCAAGTTCGTCTTTGAGATGCTGCTGTGCCAAAAGCTGGTAGAGCAAACTCGAGAGCTCTGGTTTGGCCTGATCACGTCACCGGTCTTCATTCTCCTGCAGCTGCTCATGATCCGTGCCTGTCGTGTCAACTAGCCTCAGGCAGGGGCCAGGGAACGAGCACTGCACAGCTGGAATGCTGGTCCTGGACCTGAAGCCCTGCTTGAGCCACATCGGAGGGGAGGTTTTGATCTGAGGGCAGCGCCTGCTTGTGCCTGGCTAAGTACCCAGTTTTCTCTATGCCAGTCAAGTCTGAGATTTTTCCTCATCAGAGCTAACAGAGCAGCCTTGATTCCTGAAATATTTCCTATTATTCATGCTTTGAGTAGCTAATTCTGAACTGAGATTTTGAGAAGGACCCCAGGCCAGTTGGAAACTGCATGTAAATTGAGTGTCCTGCTGCGTTTTGAGCATTTTCCGTGGATCCTGGGGTTGTACTCCTTTACAGAAGTAGCAAAGCTGAAATTGGAGATTTTGTCCAGCCAGCAGCAGCAGCCTAAGAGCTCAGTACACCGTCCATCTAAACCGTCGTTCCTTAGATGGTTGAGCTCTGAAAATTCAAGAGCGCTTGTGTCTCCTCCCCTGTGTCATGGGAGAGAATAGCCCTTTTTTCATTCCAGCCCAGGCAAAGACAGACAAATGTTGAATAAGAGAATGACTGGGCAGCTGAGGCAGGAGGACCTTTGTGAGTTTGAGGCCAGCCTGGGCTGTAAAGTGAGCTCAAGGCCAGCCTGAAATGCATAGTGAGACCCTGTCTCAAAAAGAAAAAATAGAGAGAATGCCTGGGACTCTGTCTGGATATCTGCCCTCTGAGTAAAGAACTCAGCTGTCAAGGCAATGCTTGGTGTTGTTTCATGGACTTCCATGTTTCATGTTGTTGATTGTAGTTTCATGGACTTTTCTACCACCTTGTGGCCAGCACCGTTAGGACATCTGAGACAGATTTAGGCCTCCTCAAGGGATCTAAGATAGGAGCATGTGCTCTGATGATGGTGGACTTGAAGAACTGTAGATGGGAGCTTGTGAGTGGCCCAGGTTTGTTGGCCTGAGTTCTTTGGTTTGATGGGTCAGGTGCCAAATGAGAATATTTGCTAAGATGAAAATAAAATAAGAGAATGTTTTCCTGAAATGAAAAGTGTTGCCTGTAGTTTTCAAGCCTTGAGTGAGACAAACGCTGAGATGCTCCCTCCTTTGTGTAGTAACTGGTTGCAGAGCTGATGTAGGTAGATCAGAGTGTTGCTAGAGCACAGTGGTGGGGGGGACTATTCTGGGAGAATCTCTGTTTCCTGTCTAGAAGGTGGATAACTTGGCCTCCCAGGTTGGGGACAGTTGAGGCTGGAGTTGAGGACCTGTGGAGTGGCACCTGTGACATTAGAGCTTTTGGCTTCTTGCCAGCATGTGGTCATTGGTGGGCCTCAGTGGTGCCCTGTAAAACAGAGAAACAATGTCCTAAAGCCAATTTTTGTGTGGCCCTTGAGCTGAAGATGGCTTTTACATTTTTTTCCCCCAATACTGGGGATTGAATCCAGCTGTACTCTACTAGTAAGCTACATCTCCAGCCCTTTTATTTTCTTTTGAGACAGAGTTGCTTAGATTGGTCTCAAACTTGCAATCCTCCTGCTTCAGCCTCTTGAGTAGCTCGGATTACAGCCATGGCACTCAGCTAAATTTTTTCATTTTTATAAGGTTAAAGACAAAGGCTATGGATAGATACAGTGGCACAGCTACAATCCCAACTACTTGGGAAGCTGAAGCAGGAGGATTGTAAGTTTGAGCCTAACCTGGGCGAGTTAGCAAGATCCTGTCTCAAAATGGAAGAAATTAAAACGTCTGCGTAACGATCATGTACTGAGAGCAAATGCATCCTGCAGAGTACAAAATCTCTCAGTCTCAGCAAAATCATCCTTTACTGTGGGTGTAGGAGAGACTGTCCTGAAGACCTAAGATGTTTCAAAGTTGCTGGATACCAGTATTACCCTTCACTTGTTATAGCCAAGTTTCTTTCAACATTGCCAAGGCCCCTAGAGGACAAAACTGTCCCTGTTAAGAAACACTGGGCTTAAACATTTACTGTTTATCCATTCATAGAACAGGTGTGCTGCCCTCTCCTCTAGCAGCTTGGCCAGCAGGGTGGCTTTCCCTGTAATGTTATGTTTAGGTTGTTTGTCTTGGTAATTTGCAAATGACCATTCTGGTTTGTGTAGAAGTGATGAGCCTAAAAAATTTCCTTTGTAAAGTTAATAGAGAAGGGCACTTCCCAGAGTCCAAGAAGGGCGCCCCCAGGCCAAACCCTGCTGTGTGTCTGCAGAGACGCGGGTGCCCTGAGCTGAGCCCCTGGAAGGCTCGAGGTGTGAGAAGAGTAGTGTGGGTCCCCAGCAGGCTGCAGGGCAAGTGAAGGAAGGATGGGGATGCCTGTGTCTGTGGCCCTAGTTTCCTGCTTTTATGGATGTAAGCAACCTCTTCACTCTTCCTTGGGCTGTTCAGCTCTCCTCAGAGGAAGAAAGCCTGGGCTTTTCAAAGGGCTGTCAGCCTGCCGGGAGGCTGTGCCTTCGCAGTCATTCCCTACCAGCCTTGGGGTGGGTGGAGTTCAGGAGTCCCAGCAGCCTGGCAGCGAGGTGGAAGGGTCAGCCCACGGCCTGGCATCCGAGACCTATGCTTTCCCCTCAAGGGCAGAGGTTGGGGGTGGGTCGCCGGTAGTTGGGTGTGCACCCACACGTCTGGGAGCTGACCAAAAACCCGGTTTCAGAGCTTTCCTCAGCCCAGGGCTCAGACGCGCCTTTTCCACTTCCGCAGAGTCCCACGTTCCCCAGCCGCCCGAGGGCAGGTCGAGGACTGAGGTGAGAGCACGATGGGGCCAGTCTGGTTGGCCTGCGCCAAACCCACGGAGGGAACAAGGAGGCCTGGCGACAAGGAAGTCAGGGTTTCGCCAAGGTCACCTGCGCGTCTGGGCCCAGGGGTCCGCCCGGATCCGCGCCAGGCCCCACCCCCTAGCAGGCAGATACGCCCACATCACAGGCGGAAGTGGGGCCGCCCGGGAGCTACAAGAGGCCGGGGGCGTGTCCGAGCCCTACCCCAATGGGGGCCGGCCTACGCCGAGCGTAGCCCAATGAGGCCTCAGGAGGGCGGGGCCCAGACGAGGTCCTCCAATCGACATGTCCCCCGACTTCCACCCTCTGTAGAGGTGGGGTGGGGCGGGGCGAGCCTGAGCGCTCTCGCCCAATGGGTGGCGGCCCAAGGGGGCGTGGCGCGGGGCGAAGGCCGGCTCTTCCCGTGACCGGCGCTGCTGGTCCGGTCGCCCTCGCAGTCCCGTCGGCGGCCGCGTCCGCAGCATGGCCGGCGTGGC